TCAGGAGTTGGAGTTAAATCATCAAAGTTAACAGCAAATTCCTTGTAGTATAATAGGGTCAAGGATCATACTTACTTTCTACTTAAGGTGAGATGTAGTCCAGGTAGCACCAGGAATGGCTTTGCTGCTTTAATGACAGCAAAAAGAAAGGTATCCCATAGCCTCAGATGGGAGCTAAGGGCTATAATGACAGTTCAGAAGACAGTCTAGAAACAATTTTTAGCTCCTTCTCTAAGAAGAGAGGAGCCTTGACATAGGAAAGTGTTTTCTCTAAAGGATGGCCAGGTTGTTGTTACATATGGGGGTTTCCACCATCTAAGTAGTGGTGTGTGAAAATTCAAGGCATTCCTCTGTAGTCAGCAGAACGGGCAAGAAAGAAGCTGGGGCACTTCTCTGCCTGCATTACAGTTGTTTGTCTTTCTCCATCCACGGTAGAAGGAAATACAGCTAATCTAAATCAAAACTTTTTAAAGATTTAAGTTATCCAGCAAAGTGTATCCAGCATGGTGATTATTGCAAAGCTTTGTGAGGGACTTGTGTGTTCAGTTGTTAACCTCCTGTTAAGATAAAGAAGTGGAGGGAATGACTAATGTATTGCCTGTAAATATTGTAAAATAATGAGTGGGAGGAGCAGGGAATTGCATAGAATTGGCTGAAGCCTCCAGGGTTTTGTCTTTCCCTTCCCCCTTGCACCTGGGTGGATCAATAGAAAGGGAGAGCAGTTGTGTAATGGCTTTTTTGCCCATCACTGTGTGCTATTAGTTTGACACATGCAATTTACTTGGAAAAGCTTAAGTAGCCTTAATAACAGAAAGTCCCAGCAGAGCTGACACTAATGGTCTCCCCCGTTGTCAGTCTCAACAGAGAGATTAAGAGCTGAATGAACAAAGAGACCCAATTACCATCTCCCCCCCTCTGGATGTTGCTGCATGAAAACAGGTATGAGCTATGACAGTGGCTCTTTGGACAGACTCTGTCTCTCTGCCATGCCCTGGTGTGAGAGGGGTTTTTACTGTGCTCTCAATTTACTGCCATTACTGAGGGCTGCTGCAATATCACCCAGTCCAGCTTTTCTTCACTAATAGTGAAGTCCAGTCATCTTGAAAGGAATTTAGTATATCATGCCCTGATAATATACACTATTGAACACTCTTCAGACACTCACCGTCCAATGCACTGTGCTAGCAAGTAAAACAAGCAAAAGCAAACCCAGCCCAGCTAAATCTACCATTTTTTCTATTCAGTTCTCCACAGGAAAATAATATTTTCTTGGCCCAAGCTCTCAGGGAGGTATCAGAGTGCAGCACTGCAGGGTGTGCAGCCAGAGACAGATACATCCCCACTGGGTTGGACTGGCAGAAAGGTCTCAAAGAAAACAGAACATCTGTTTCTGCTTTCATCCAAAGCTTGGAGCAACTTGGTTAATAACAAAGTATGAGCACTGCCTGTGAATGGCTACACAATACCTTTTGTGAGTGCTGTTCCTCAAATATATTATAAAATACAGTGCCAGCTCTCTTTTGCCTCCCTTCACTAGGACAGGTTTGTACAATCAATCCAGTATTCACTTTAAAAAAATTGCTGCTGCATATGCTATAATTTTGTGTCTGTTTTTTATGGCTAATTTATGTAAGACTTTAATTGCAACTCATTTCTCAGTAAGACTGGCCCTCTTTTCAGGATTTTTTCTCTTCTGTTTCTCTAGCATGGCAGACCAAAGACTTCTCAACATTCAGAAATAAAAAAAATGTCTTTCAAGAGGACTCTAAGTGGGCTTTACCAACATAGGGTTTGATCAGTGATGATGATTGATTGATTGATTGAGAAAAATATGTACCCCACCCTATTCAGTCTCAGTATTGAGGAAAAACATCATCTTTCAGTAAACAGCTGATTTTTGAGAATAGTGTCCTGTTGACAAACTGTTAAACCAAACTTGTGTCCCCTGGATTTAGAAGAAAACCTGAATAATAATTACATAATAATAATACAATTACAGTAATATTTACAGCATTAGTATCAACACTGTCTAACTTTGTCAGTCTTTGCTTTATAACTTACTGTATATTCCAACATCACTTAAAATACTTTGCCAAGTACACCGGGTGAATGGTGGAGCTCAACATATTTATATTTCAAAGGGTAGTGAAATAAAATAGCTTTGCATTTTATTAATCGAATGTAAGTTTATGAACATTTAATTGATGTATATGAACATATTTAATTGATGGTTCTAGAGATGAACAATTTCTCTTGTACGATATAATAACTAATATTTATGCTGCCAAAATATATTTAATATGCATGAAAAATAATGGGTTTGGCTAAAACCAGGTTTGTACAGCTTTGTGTGTTTTTCTGTGTGCATACAGCATACAAAGGAACACTGCACATCAAATGAATGCAATATTTAATCTAAAGTGAAATGCTTAACACTCCTAGCAGCAGTTCAAAGATGAGGACAGCTTTATTAGTGTTTTAGAGTCACACTTTCTTAAACTCAATTTCTCGTCTTACTGTGGATAATTAAAGTTTTTTGTTGATCTCCAGTGATTAAATTTGCTTCCTTATATATCACAGTTAGAGTGTTGGTTTTTTAAGTGATTTGTGCATACATCAAAAATGGCAGAGGGGGAAAAAAATTGTTAATAATCTTTATCAACAAAGACTTGTATGACTGATACAAAAAAAAAGGAGTATATAAACTTTCTATTCCCACCTAAAGACAATTTTAAACACCTCCTCCTAAATGGACTGGAGTGTATTTTGGGAAATACCTGTGTATTTCTTAAATCATGTGCATTAAGCAAATATAACAGTTTATAAAGAAGTAGTAATTTATTGTAAATATTTACAGCCCCAGTGAGGTTTTTGATGGCATGGGCTTGTGCCTGGGAGATTCCCTTTTTTCTCCCTCCAGTTCTCTCTCAGTGTAGGAACTCAGGAATTGTTTTGAAGAGAATACTGGCAAAAGAAGTTTTTTTCATTCTCTTTCATTCTCTTCTCTTTTCTTACAGGCCTTTCATTCTTCAGCAAAGGCTGAAGTTCTTTGCCCTCTCTCCTTTGCTAACCCCTCCACTTGCCCTGATGATCATGTACAATCTCAGGCCATTTCACTGCTTTTTCATCTCTTCTCTTAGTATCTACCCTCACTCGTTCCTCTGGTTTTGCAAGCAGTGTCAGCTCACCTGAGCCTCTTCCAGCCTGAAAAACATCAGACCATCACCAGTTATATTTGCTCTTCTAAATACCTTCTGCAATTCTCTTTTCCCCCTTATTGCTCAATGTGCTGTCAGTAGTTGTTGGTGGTACAGTGAGTCTGGCTTTGCGCATTTCATTCTGGGCAGTGCCTTTCCTGACCTCTTCCTCACCAAAGGTTACAATGTGCATTTCCTCCTCAGCCTCACATCAGCTGTCATCTGTCTGCAGTCCCTGATGTTTTTGAAATCCAGCCCATGCTTTTGTTCTCTGATCTCATCCAAGATGTTGGGTAGTGTGCCTGGGCTCTTAAACTGTCCACGGCGTTGCTGCTGGATCCCTCCTACACTGTCTGCTGCTCTGTCCAATTGCTGCTGCTTGATTTTCCTCACAAATGCAGATCTGGGATCTATTTCAGATTGAAATAGATTCTTTTGGATCCTTTTCTTTGAACTGAGTTTCAGATTTTGAGTTGTCTTTAACAAGTAATATGTAAATTAGCAGCATGTTATGTTAATTTCATACATAAGTACTATTTGCCAGATAGATTATTTGTATTGGTGTGCAGTTACATCTGTTAGTATGCAATGTTCAAAGAGTATATATAAGAGATAAGATACCCAGGTGAAATCACAGTAGCTGTGTTCCTGATCAGCCTGGGGAGGTGAACAGACTGATACAGCTAATCAAATTATCTTGAATTAGACTTAATTGTTTTTCTGCATGAATGTTTCTGGTTTGTTTTTGGTTTGTTTTTGTTTTTAAAGAACTTTCTATTTTTCCAGTTCCTACATGAAATTGTAACAGCACATAACCTATGGAACTTGTACCACCTCTGAGACATTTTAGGAACCTGTTTTCAGAGCACACCATTTACTCCTAAACAGAAGTAGCATATAAGTTCATCCAAGCTGTAAGAAGGGATGAGCTCTGGAGATGTCTCTCCAAGTAACATTTCTTGATTCTCACTTTAACCTGTGTCTTTTTGCGCATCTTCTTGAACGTGACTGTGGATAGTCTACCTGTAGTGTAAATACAGTTTATTTATTTGGTTCTTTATATTTCAATTGGTATTTCCAGTTAAAATGAAACAGCAAGGTGTATTCACAAGACAGTGACATTGCCATTGACAACAGTCAGCAAAACAGTACCAAAAGGTCAAGTCTCAGACATAACTAGTGCTTAGTTTCCCAATGCCTTTATGTATTGTCAGGTGGTTTCTGTACTTAAACACATCTGCTGATCCAAATGTATTACAAAAAAGGATAGCAAAAGCAGCTAAATTATGTGGTGATTTTAATTAGTAGGAAAGAGGGATGGTAGGATCTTCCAACAGCATTTTCTAATTGAAGTCACTGAACTGGCATTTCAGCAATGATTTCTGCTTCAGAGATCAAGAGAGATTATTTATCCTTAGCAGTTTTCAGCTCTCAAAAGTTCATGCAGGCCAAGTGACTTCCATCATTCATGAACTTTGTTGTGAACTTGTCTCTTTCCTGATTTTATTGACTTGTCACATGATTTCTGGGAAGAAGTGAAGGTCTCTGCTGCATTTGCCTCGTCCTTATGAGGAAAGTGAGGGCTGCACAATTTTATTTTCAGAGGTCAGTGGGAACCAAACCAGAGAGCTGTGGTTGGAGTTTGTTTATAATGGGAAGTGGGTGTATAAACCTCAGGAGGAAACCCCTGGGTTTGCCCAGGTGCATGCAGGCAGCTGAGCACTCAGAAAACACTGGTAGTAAATTTCTGTGTTCTTCAGCCTGCTGTGATGCTTCACTTATGATGTGTTTCTCCTCACCCAGGAGCAGTGTACAGAGACGTGCTGTTGTCATCACATCTGGGAAAGACTGAAGCTGGCATCTACGTAGTCCTTCTCCAGAGGTTGCCTTGCAAGACACAGCTACAAAATGTTCATCAGAAAAAACTGAACTGTAGATCCTTAAGAGTGAGTAGAAAACAAATGCGACCTTTCAGAATTTTTGTCTAAAATGTATAAAAATAATGACATGGATTTGCATTTTAGAAATGCATTCCAAGTCCTGGGTAACTAGGGATTGTGAAGAGCTTGGACTGAGCCTGTGGCACCAGGTTATGGTACTTACATCGCACTGCTGTGTTCTTTGGGGTGTGTGGTTCCTTGCCTCCTCTGCTGTCTTGTACACCTCTGTTGAGCTGCATTTTTTAAGGACAAGTGGCTTGAGGAAGTGTTTCATTGTTTCTGGAAAGCAAGGCACTCTTAATGCTAGAGGACTAGCTGGTCTTTTGGGATCACTGACTAGGGCTGAGAAAATTAGACCAAAGAGTGTGATGTAATTTCTGAAGTCCATGCAGAAGATAAGTCATTGCTCAGATTTGCTGATACTTTCTGCATCAGTTCATTTTTGCATTTCTTTTCCAGTCTGAGTGTTTTCCCATGGTAAGTTAGGGTGCTTGCTTATTCCAGCTGTTTGGTCCCACTGTCCTCAGCTTCCCTGATGGACACCTCTGATTGAAGAGGTGAGTGAGTTATATGAGAACTATTAACTGTCAGTGTCCAAGGAGAGTCTTTTCCCTCGTAAAGCATCCCTCATTATCATGCTATCACCAGTGCACCTTCTTGTTTCACCAGAGATTTTTCCATTGAGATAATCCCTGCACAGCTGTCTACTGTCACCCTTGCAAGCCAACATGAAAGCAAGATCAGCCATGCCATCAGCATGAAGATATCTTCAAATTAATAGAAAAATACAGTAAAGCAACAAAAAATGTAATCTGATGCGATGCATACAGCCCATAGAATGTGTGCAAAACACCTTTTTTTTTAGTTTTATTTTTAAAGTTATTTTTATTCCCCAGACTTGTTTTTCTCAAACATTTGACTTATTTAGGTGCTTTGTGTTGTGGGATGCTGCTAGTGAAAGTAATTGCTTTATTCCTGAGGGGACGGCGGCATGTTGTAAAACAGGATGTAACAATCCTTTAATACAATATAAAAGGGTTGCCAGGTAGATACATTCTCTGTTGCTGCCTGAGATGTTTGTGGGTTTTGGTTCTGCAAGATATTACTGCTTCTGCCCCTCCTGCTTGTGTAACTACAGAGAAACGAGTGTTAAAACCAGGACCATTGGGCTTGTCACACTCAATTGTGTTCTTCTTGGTGCCCTCAGCTCATGAAAAATAGAAACAGCATTTAACCCTCAATTCACAAATAAGGTGATGGGACACAAAGGACCTCTAAGCAGTGTGTGAGGGTGGAATAGGGAGGAAATGCAGGAACTTCAAAAGGAGAGGAAGTCCACAGGGATTTAGCTCCACTAGGTCCAAAATCAAGAGGATTAAACTCTGTTGAGTGCCAAGTACTCCACTGTAAGAATGGATCTCTGATTCCTACAAGGCAGAGAATTACTGTTTAAGCTGCAGAAATAATTCTGAGAATTTGGAATGTGCTGGGAAGTGAATTTGATCTGTCTGATGCAGTTGCAAGGATAAGGCAAAGCCCAGCTCCAGGGCTCTGGAATGCAGAAATTGATCTGTAGAGGAGATCAGAGGGAATTATTAACTGTGTTGTTGTCATGACCTGAAGGGTTAACTGGCCTATGGGAGTAAGAAGATTTCAGCCATAGGGGGTTTCAGGGATTCTGTAATACAGAAGTGGTCCCAGGGGAAAACCACTAAAGTAACAGGCAGAGTCTCACATCAATGATGAGTCTTGTCACAAAGCTGGAAGTCAGCCAGACATCCCTAGTGAGGGCCAAAGAGTTTGTCTAGAAGATCTTGTGGAAAATTTGTGCAGGGAGCTCAACCTGTGTAGGAAAACCACAAGCAGTGCGGGAAATAACCAGAGAATAAAGCTCCAGTCTGGATAAAAAGGACGTCCTTTCTATGGCACAGAGATGTTAAAGGGTGTTACAACACACTCACCTCAACAGCCAAGAGGTGCTGTTAATTTCTGTTTTTCTGCTGGGAGAACCAGTAGATGATGGTTATGATTTCTCACATCTCAGACCCCTGTTTCCTGTTCTTACAGTTAGAACAGCTAATGGCAGTTGTTGAACCTTATTTTCTCAGGATGTCTTCCCCTTTTTCCGCCTTTCTTACTTCTTTCACCTTTTCAGATGATAAGTTCCTTGGTTTTGTACTTCCTGATGGTATCTCAGGCTGCCTCTGGTTTCTGGACACCCAGCTGCCATTCAAAGATGCTGACTGCACTTCTCAAGGATGTTGCTGGCTCCCAGGCTCACAGTCCAGCAGACATTTCCTCTTTAAGCACACATATTCTGCTCAGTATTTCTCTCCTTGCAACCAGGTTTCACTTTAGGGCTGCTTACATCAAGACCCCTCTGCAAATATTCTGTGTAGTTTTGAGTACCAAGCCTCAAAAGAGCTATGTCAGGGGATGAATGAGCAGAGAACTGGAATAAGTTATCTAGAGGGGAGTGGCAAAAAAAAAACTCCAGTGTTTTACCTAGACAAGAAAGCAATGAAAGAAATGGAAGAAGGAAGGGGGTCAGGATCCTCTAGAGTGAACTTCCATGTTTCATTATGTTTGTCGATATAGCAGTTAAGTATCAGGTATCATTTTGATAAACCAGCTTATTTTGTGGGTAAGAGAGTGTTGTAATTGTCTGGGGTACAACACTGACAGTCTCTGTTCATTGCCCCAGTTTCTGTGCCTTTACATGCCTGCACATGGTAGTCCAGTCAATTTGCTGAGACTGCTGGCAAATGTATCCTTTGATATGTGTTGGAATCCTTTTGTCATTTATGAGCATCTTTTCACTAGACTTGGAGTAGAGACCTTCTGTGGGTGTCATGTAGGATCCTGTGCAGCCAGGAAACAGCAGTTTTGGCTGCTGACCTGAGCTGGCTACCAAAGCAGAATTGAACCCATGGTCTCAAGAGGAAAAGCTTTGTCCCCTTCAGCCGCTGCTGTGTAACCCAAAACACTGAGCACCATGGAGGTGGGCAGTGTGGAGGCTTTGTGCATTGCATCAGGGAGTCTTTGCTGTCTTTGGCCCAAACTCATGGATAGGGTAGGATAAAGTCCCTAAACATACACTTTCTCTCCTTACTAGGATCTCCTCAGGCATGATTTAAAGTTGCTCCCCAGTTTCTTCAGGTCATTTCCAAAGTCTGCAGAGGTCAGAGGGAGCCCTCTGGCAGACTCAGCAGGTTTGTGATCTTTCCTAAAGCAGTTCCCTGTGTGAATCAGATGCAGATAATTTATCTCATCAATAATGTTTTTTTCTTGGGAGTTACAGCCAGCTTCTGAACAGCAGCACTGGGGGATCAGTGGATGGGTTTAGGAAATGGGAATTACTCTCCCAGCTGTGCTGACTGATGGAGTGATCCCATGCAACAAAATGTGACCTCCAAGTTTGCTTCTCTGCTTGTGCTTGGTTTCTCTCACTTGCCCATTTTCCAGGGTGTGCCAAATCCTTGGATATTTGTGCTTCCTCTTGCTGTTGCAGTAGTCTGTGGTGGGAGGCAACTGAAAAAATCATGATTTCTTAATGGTAATGATGTGCACCATAACAGGGGCACACACCTCTCTGGGGGTTACAGTGGACACTTCCACCCATGCTTGTCTGAATACATTGCTCTCCCACCCTGGCCACTCCATCCTTAAGATTTCATCCACTGACTTTCAGCTTGAGCCTTGTTAAGCTTTTAATCGACACACTGCCTGCCAGACTCTTGCTCTCGTGCCAGAAGCCTTAGCAGTATTGAGGAATATTGTGCCAATATCCAAACATCACGTTGTCTCCACGGTTCAGTGCTGAACTGGGTGGCACTGGTCCACCTACCTCACCGCATCTCCCAGTGCTCTCCCAAGACATCAGCTGTGAGAGTACAGGAGGGGCTGTGTCATCGCTGCTGGCAGCTCCTAAGTCATGTTTCTCTTGAAGAGGAAGAACATCTCCAGTGCTCTTTTGCCAGCTAAAAAATATTTTGAAGCTGGTAAATATGTTCTTTTCTTCTGTGCTCTGTCAGCCAGGTTCAGGTCATACATGAGCAGGAGGAGACCTCTGTCCCAGCCCTCTGACATGGCAGCAGCAGGGTCTCTAAACTGATTGATAGATACTGTCCATGGTAAAGATAATCTGAACCCTCACAGCAGAGGACATACTTTGGGGTAAAAAAGGGAAGAAGAGTGGAGGAGAGGGAGTTGGTTGTGGAAAGGGTTATGGCACTTTCTGCTCACAGTGAGGTCCTGCAGTCATTTTAATTGGCTCCTGCACAGAAGGTGACGATGAGGGACAGTTCTCCCATCCAGAAGCCCCACTGTGTATGAGGGTAACATAAACCCCCACTCTCCCATGAGCACAGCCATGTGTCTGCTTCGTTCCCAAGGTTGGGCCCTGGCACTTCTGTTAAACAGCAGTCAGCTGGAAAGATCTCCTAACTGGTTTTATGCAAATGGGAGCAGATATGTCATGCATGTGTGTTTGCACATTAGCACTGTCCCCTATCAAACAATAGATATTGTTTTGTCATGTAAATAGTGCTCAACTGACAGGACTTGCTGGGAGTTGAGCTTATTTGTAGTGAGTGGTTTTGATGTGTGTGTGTGTATGCAGGTGTTGAAAGAGTGGGGAGTAACAAAGCTGTGAAACTTCAATGAGATAAGCCAAATAAACCCCCAAATCATGTTATGGAAAGTGGTAAGTATATATAACTTGTGTATTGCATAAGGGAGGTCAGGACTACATGGCAGAGAGGTAAGTAGGAGGGAAGAAAAACAATTGTTTTCATACAAGATTAGTTATGTCTAAGCAAGGACTTGAAACTGCCTCTGATCTTCATTGCTGGTTTCCATGTGTCCGTGCCTCTCCCCAAGAGCATTCTGCCTGGCAGGTACAACTCTGGAGGTTGGTTTTGATGGTACCAAGGCATTGCCTGAGAGCTGCCAGGCAGCTGAGGGTTTACATTGAGTACAGCCAGCAGTGGAGGCCAGACAACAGA